AAAAAATATTATAATGGCCAAACTGTTATATCATCAATACATGTGATAGTCATTGAGTAACAAAATGTTGAATCAAAAAGAAGCATAAACTCCACCCCATTTGTAAGGAAATGGAAAGACTTGGAAAAAATCATATTAAGTGAAGTAAACTTGACCTAAAGAAACATAGGCTCGATGAAATAATTAGTAAACATCTAGGATAATCTTAGCAGATGAACAGAAAAGTTCAATGGCTATGTACATATGACCATATAAGATGATGCTAAGCAAAATGAGCTCCATGATATGGATACAAAAGATTTTCTTTGTTTTTGTTTTTTTAATGAACTATGTAATTTTGTCTATCTTTTGTACCTTTTCCTCCCTATGCTATATATCCTGCTTTAACTATATTTGCATTTGGTAACCTAGAAATATGTTTATGTTTATTTGAATTAGGGAAGAGAATTGAAACAACAGAATGGTGAGTTAAAGGCCAAGGGAGGAACCAATGCAACAGCAATAAACACAAAACTATATCGAAATGATGCATAAAACTTGTGGGGAGAAAGAGGCAGAGAGGGAAACTGGGTGAAAAATGAGGGAAGGGGTAACAAGTTTGAAAAGGGATGTACTTATTACTTTACTTATGTAGCTGTAACCCCTCTATGCATCACCTTGACAATAAAAAATTCAGAATAAAGAAGAAAAATATAATATATAAAATATAAAAGCACTTGTATGATAGTAAATGCTGACATCTGAGGATTTCACCTAAGTAAAAAATTTCCTAAATTATTTGAAACAAACAAGGTTCCTAAAAAGAAATAATCATTGTATACATGTTTCAGCAGATATGGAGCAATGTGTGAAGTGTCCAGATCATCAGTATGCCAACACACACAGAACTCAATGCTTCTTGAAAACTGCAAGTTTCCTGGCTTTTGAAGATCCCTTGGGCATAGCTCTGGCTAGCATGGCTCTTTGCTTCTCCTTGCTAACTGCTGCTGTTCTTGGAATGTTTGTGAAATACCAAGACACTGCCATTGTCAAGGCCAATAACAGGGCTCTCAGCTACATCTTGCTCATCTCCCTCATCTTCTGTTTCCTCTGTTCTTTGCTCTTTCTTGGCCGTCCCAACACAGTCACCTGCATCCTGCAGCAGATCACATTTGGGGTTGTGTTCACTGTGGCTGTTTCCACAGTGCTGGCTAAAACAGTGACTGTGGTCCTGGCCTTCAAGGCCACTTCCCCAGGAAGAAGGATGAGGTGGCTGCTGGTATCAGGGGCTCCTAACTTCATCATTCCCATCTGCACCCTCATCCAGGTGACTCTCTGTGGACTCTGGCTGGGAACCTCTCCTCCCTTTGTAGACACAAATGCACACTCTGAACATGGCCACATCATCATCCTGTGCAACAAGGGCTCCCTCACTGCCTTCTACTGTGTCCTGGGATACCTGGGCTCCTTGGCCCTTGCCAGCTTCACTGTGGCTTTTCTGGCCAGGAATCTGCCTGACACCTTCAATGAAGCCAAGTTCCTGACCTTCAGCATGCTGGTGTTCTGCAGTGTGTGGCTCACCTTTCTACCTGTCTACCACAGTGCCACAGGGAAGATCATGGTGGCTGTGGAGGTCTTTTCAATCTTTGCCTCTAGTGCAGGACTCCTAGGCTGCATTTTTGTCCCAAAGTGTTACTCCATCTTGTTAATGCCAAAAAGAAATTCTCTGCATGACTTCAGATATAAAAGACAGTAGGAGAAATAATCATTTTTAAGATTAAACACATGGGTTTGATTAGTATGCAGAAGGTCTGATCTAATTCTATAGTAATTATCTCTTCTTGTCATAGTTTATATTATGGAATATATCCTTCAAAGACTAAGGATCTAGTGTGCATTTTCCTAGCAGTGGTCGACACATGTGATTGTGATCACAATTTAAACTGGAGTTTTGCTTCTATATTTTTGCATACTCCTATCCAGTCTTCACTTATTTCTATTATCCCCTCTTCTTAATATCTTTTCACTCTTATCTTTCTCAACAACTCTTCTAAATTTTTCAGTATATTAACTTCCTGTTGCACACTCCCATGTTGCAGAGTCCTCAAATCCATTTCATTAGTATTTTCTTCTTCACAAATTTACATCTCTTAATGTTGTCCTTAGATATTGCTTTGTTCAATACTTGTATATTTCTACTAAAACCTTCACCTTTTGAAATTTTGCTGTCTCTCTTGTGGGACCTTCCTCTCTGTCCCAATCTTTCTCTTTGTCTCTCTCCTTCTCCTTCTTTATCTTTCTTTTCTCTCTCACATTGCTTCCCTCATATAACTTAGGAATGACTTGTAAATAGTACAAAAATACACTTTGATTCAAGGTTACAATTTATGAGATGTTTTGAATTTTCTCTTAAGATTAAAATCGGTCATGCATAATAATAAGCGTCCTCTTGCCTGGATATACATTTTATTTTATGGTTGGTTAATCACTCTGCATTAATTTGACACCAGGAATTTTGAATACTAAATATATATAAGATTATTTCTTGTAATATCATCACTATTACAATCTGTTCAAACTGGAAAATTTTTATGTGCCACATGTCCAAATCTTGAGAAGGCAAGCTATAATTATTGTTTCAAATAGGTTGATTTAGTGGGCTCTATACTATGTTAACAGAATTACATATTTAAGAGAAATATGCATAATTGCACTCATTTCTTGTCTGTTCAAGAGTTCTTTACAGGTTTCTTCTGATAATAATTTGATTCATTTATGCATACCTGTAATCAGGGCCTATACTCTCCTTTACCTTTCTCACTCAAGGTTTTTTTTTTACCACTTGAATCACCATTCCTTTTCTAGCTGTTCAACATATTATTGGAAATAAGAGTCTCATACACTTACCTGACCAGGCTGATTTCAAACCTTTTCTCACATTTAAATTTCTAAAACATACCTGGCTAAGTAACTTACCATAGCTTTCTATAAACTAAATTTTTAGTTGACAATAAAAAATGTTTGGCAAAATACATTGTGTGCTTATTCTTTTGTTGAGGGCATGATGTTTAACAAAGAAAATGTAAGCCGGGCGCCAGTGGCTCATACCTAGCTACTCAGGAGGCTGAGACCTGAGAATCATGGTTCAAAGCCAACCCAGGCAGGATAGTCTGAGAAGCTCTTATCTCCAATAAAGCACCAGGAAACCAAAAGTGTTGCTGTAGCTCAAGTGGTAGAGTGCTAGCCTTGAGCTGAAGAGCTCAGGGACAGCGCTCAGGCCCAGAGTTCAACGCCCATGATTGACAAAAAAAAGAAAGAAAATGTAATTAATTTTCAACTTCCTCAGTGAGTTAATCAAGATATAATCAAAATACTCATCACTTTCTATTGCATTTTTTACTTTCTTCCTTGTCTATTTAAGAAATTTCATTAATAGACTTGAGCTTATATCATTGATTAAAATGCAGAATCCTCATTGTATCATGTGAAATTATTGGGAGAGTATGTGATTTCAGTGAATTTACATATTCTTTTATAGTCCTGCTAATTTTTCTGAGTTAGGATTTCAGTAAACTTACACAAAACTTTATCTCTTAAATGAAGAAATTCTTTATCTCTCCCTAGTTTTCCTCATTCCAAACAAATTAATGCAAAAATTGTGTATTAAGATTACAGAGCCCATTCTCTCTCCCTGTTAATGACTAACTTCTGACAAGAGATGGTATTGCTAATTGCAATACAATAGATCATAGCTTTGAATTATATACTTAGTAATATTTTCCAGGCTATTCCAGGCAAAGTTATCTCCAGGAATCCTTATTATAATTAATCATTAAGACAAGTCTAAATTCTAACAGGAAATTAAATGTCTTATTGAGGAGAGTGTTCATCTTAAAAGTTATATTTTATATGCACAGAAAACATGGATCTCACATATCTTCATTCCTCAGTACCCAGGCACAGGACAAGGGTCCAGTAAGTTAGATTCAGTATAAAAAGTGAGCATGAATATAGAGTGCCCAAGAGTGGTCAATCTGTAACTACAGCTTCACAGGTGAGCAGGCAAGCCAAATCTAATGAGATGAATCAAGGATAATATGCCACAGGGCAAAATTGTTTTACAAAAACATATAGGGAAATTTACGCTGTATAATCACAATTTTAATATAATTGAAGAATTGTTAATGAGTGAGAAGTAGTGTAAAAAAGATCAAGATAAGGACTCAGTTGGTTTTTTTTGTTTCTTGCTATTCTTTCTAACATATCTATAAGATGATTTCTTTGTTGCTTTGTATGTCCCTTCCCCATGGTATCCCCTCTTTTCACTGTATTTGATGGCCAGGGAAAAAATACAAAGACGTATTTATGATACTAAATACTGACATCGAAGGATTTCACCTAAGTAAAAAATTTCCTAAAACCTTTGAAGAAAATAATGATCATTTATAGAAGTAATGGTAGTATACATGTCTCACCAGATATGGCGCAATGTGTGAAGTGTCCTGTTCATCAGTATGCCAACACACACAGGACTCAGTGCTTCTTGAAAACTGCAAGTTTCCTGGCATTTGAAGATCCCTTGGGCTAACATGGCTCTTTGCTTCTCCTTGCTAACTGCTGCTGTTCTTGGAATGTTTGTGAAATATCAAGACACTGCAATTGTCAAGGCCAATAACAGGGCTCTCAGCCACATCTTGCTCATCTCCCTCATCTTCTGTTTCCTTGTTCCTTGCTCTTTCTAGGCAGACCAAACACAGTCACCTGCATCCGGCAGCCGATCACATTTGGGGTTGTGTTCACTGTGGCTGTTTCCACAGTGCTGGCCAAAACAGTCTGTGGTCCTGGGCTTCAAGGACATTTCCCGAGGAATAAGGATGAGGTGGCTGCTGGTATCAGAGGCTCCTACCTTCATCATCCCCATCTGCACCCTCATCCAGGTGACTCTCTGTGGACTCTGGCTGGGAACCTCTCCTCCCTTTGTGGACACAGTTTTACACTCTGAACATGACCACATCATCATTCAGTGCAACACGGGCTCCCTCACTGCATTCTACTTTGTCCTGGGATACCTGGCCTCCCTGGCCCTGGCCAGCTTCACTGTAGCTTTTGTGGCTAGGAACCTGCCTGACACCTTCAATGAAGCCAAATTCCTGATCTTCTGCATGCTGCTGGTGTTCTGCAGTGTGTGGCTCACTTTCCTGCCTGTCTACCACAGTGCCAAGGGAAAGATCATGGTGGCCGTGCAAGTCCTCTCTATCTTGGCCTCCAGTGTGGGCTTCCTGGGTGCATTTTTGCCCTAAAGTGTTACAACATCTTGTTAATGCCAAATAGAAATTCTCTGCATGACTTCAAAGTGAAAGAGAGTAGGATAAATAATCATTCTTAAAATTAAGCACATAGGTTTGCTTAGTATTCACAAGGTCTGATCTAAAACTACAGTAATTATGTCTTCTTTTGTCATAATTTATATTATAGAATTTTTAGTTCAAAGACTAAGGAACTAATGTGCATTTTCCTAGCAGTGGTAGTCAAAAGTGATGGTGGTCAGAATTTAAACTGCAGTTTTGCTTCTGTATTTTTGGTTCCACCTTTTCAATCTGCAGTTAATTCTATTATCCCCTCCTCTTAATGTCTTTTCACTCTTGTCTTTCTCAATAACTCTTCTAAAAATTTTTAATGGGAAAATACCATACATAGGGGTTACAATTACATGGGCAAGGTATTGAGCACAAATTTTATCCATCATTGTTGCCTCCTCCTTTGTTTTTCCCTACCATCCCCTTCCTCCCACCAGCTCAGCTACATTTCCCTACCTTTACACCCCCCACCCTTGCCAAAATTGTAAAGTTCATTTTGGATATAGCATCTTGTACATCTCATTGTAAATTTTTCAGTATATTGACTGCTGTCTGCACACCACATTTGTTGCAGAGCCCTCAAACCCATTTCCTTAATATTTTCTTCTTCATAAATTTACATCTTTTAATGTTGTCCATAGATACTGTTTTGTTCACTAACTGTATATTTCCACTCACACATTCACCTTTTGAAATTATGCTGACTCTTTTGTGGGACCTTTCTCTCTGTCCCAGTAGTATTTTCTTTTTGTCTCTTTCCAGCGCCTTCTTTTTCTTCATTTTCCCTCTCACACTGCTTCACTCATATAAGTTAAGAATGACATGTATGTGTTACAAAAAATAAACTTTCATTGAACATTATATTTCATAAGAGTTTTTGAATTTTCTTCTAATATTAAAGTCCATTATTAATAATATTAAGCCCCTTCTTGCCTGAATATCATTTTTATTTTATGGTTGATTCATCACTATGTATTAACTTGACACAAAGAATTTTGCATATGAAATATAAAAGATTATTTCCTATAATATCATTTCTTACAATCTGTTTAAACATGACCATTTTTATTTGTCACATTTCAAAACTCTTATTTGATAAGGAAAGCATCACTAATTGATTCAAATAGCTTGACTAAGTCCATTCCATGTAT